TTTGCACTCATTTTCGAGGGGGATGCTCGGGTAAGCGCCCACCCCTAAAAAATCACAATTTTCTGAGGCCCCTGGGTGCTAACGCGGTCGAGTACGGTACAATTGGAGTCCAACTTTTTACTGATTCTCAGTAGTTCTCAATATTTGAATTCTACTTTGAATATTAACTCACCATATCCATATGGATAGTAATACTTTCTTCTTGAATGCTCGGCTTCAAAGACTTCTACTAACATGACATACAATTGAATTCCTTCCAAACTCATCCATGCAAACGCCGCCAGAAAGAAATAATGCAGACATGCTGCAATGATGGTACATGGCAACTAAAATTTAACAAAAAAGCATGTTATTGGATAACAAGTCATTGATATAACACAATCCCCATCACAAACGAGCCATGCATGGCACAGTCCCTGTCAGTTATCAAATTTAAGATACAGTTTTGTTTATAGTAATAAAGTTGAAACATGAATAGGTCAGCGATAGGGATCAAGAAGCTGAGGCTTGATTATGATGATTTTTCAATCTGAGTACTTATTGAATCCATATTGAGAGATCTTGCTCTGGAACAGCATTAATTAAAAACAAAATGGTCACTGGCCGGCCATTTTGAAAACGGTACATCTGTATATCTATGACATGATGTATAATGAATATATAAAATTTGAAAATAATCAGCCAAAGCATGTCAAAGATATGGCTCTATAACCGCATTCATTAAAACAAAATGGCCACAAGACAGCAATTTTGAATCCGATCTAAAAAACAATGACATGCATCAAGGGCCAATATTGTCTATCGTATGTACCAAGTTTGAATGAAATGCATCCATAAAAGACCAAGATCAGTTTCCGATATGCCAGAAATGATTGATTGGACCATATTGAATCGGATCATCAAACCAATATATATTACAATGTACATGATGTATTATGAATATATAAATTTTTAACATAATCAGTCAAAGCATGTCAGAGATATGGCACTAGAACCACTGAAAACCAGTTCCGGAATGCCAGAAATGCTTGATTTTGATTATTTTCCAATACAAAAATGGCCGCCATTCGGCCATCTTGAATCAGATCATGAAACAAATTGATGTGCATATGTATAATATTAAATGTGTGTGTGTGAAGTTTGAATGTAATCGGTCCAGGATGTCTAAGATATAGGTCCGATCGCAAAGACGCACACACAGAGGTCAATCCACAAGTACCTGTTTTTGACTACAGGGACTAAAAACATTGCAGGAGATGCCACCAATATACAGTCTCTCTGGATTCTTTAAAAAGAGATTGTTATTGCACAAGTCAACACATGATTGTACACATTTTCACTTACCAGTTTTTCAGTCTTATCAATACCAGCCATGAACAACACTTCTGCCACCAGTAGACAAAAACAAAGATTCTTGTGAATAGTGTTTCGATCACACTGCAAATTCCTACAGGCAGAAAAAAATAGAAATTTCTGATAAACAGGATAGTTATTTATGGATATATTAGGTAGTTAAATATATCGGTCAGTAGACTGAATTGCTTGAACCCACAAGATTTCATTAACATAGTACAAGGCATTATATATGAGGTCTAGGTAAAAAATACTACTATGTTGACTGTGACTTACTTGAACCCACAGAACGTCATTAAGCAGAGTATGAGGCATATTATTGATATCATGAATCCAGCGTAGGTAATCACAGATAATGCAAAGTGGTGACTGAAAGGTAACTGCAATAAAAAAAAGTATGTTTGATGGCTATTATGTGAATGAAAAGAACATAAAATGTAAATGCCAGGTAAACATGTCGGGTGGATATCTTGGGGACATCACATAAATGTCAGGTGGACATAATTGTGAATGTCAGGTGGACATAAGTGTGAATGTCAGGTGGACATAAGTGTGAA